TTTTYCCCCTGCATCTTMGTTTGTTCAATATTTTTTCTTTGTCTTTCARCAATTTTCAATCCAAATCATATGTGTTCTTTGAGCTTCTTTAATCGGCCTTACCCTGATTTATTATCATTATGTATTTTTATTATTTTGATTGTTTTTTGTATTTTTTTTTTCGACTAATATTTCACAAATGGGATTGGGTTCTAGTGTCCAGGTCCTATCGAATCACAAACAAAATGGCGAAAGCCAGAGAACTTAGAAATTTTGTCGAATTTGGCCGAAAAATCGTCGCTATAGGACGAAATTACAGGTAATATGTGGATTTATGTACAAATKATTATTTTGCGAGCAGATAGAGAGGACAAYTAACTGCGTATTTTTCAGAGATCATGCCACAGAACTTGGAAACCCTGTGCCAGATAAGCCATTGATATTCTTRAAACCGACTTCTTCTTATGTAAAAGAAGGACAGAATATCGAGGTAAATATACGAACTCATATGGATAAGATATTTGTTCGTTCATTCAACTACTTTTGGCTTTATTAAGCTTATTATATGTAAACTTAAGSTATTATAGTATTTTATATTTCATTCTCCGATGGATGAACAATTCCTGTCCTTTGATAATACAATACTGGGTATAATACTATATAGTCTGGAATTCAGTTTATTTTGTAGAGCAAAGCACCATTTTGATACCACTTAGCAACCAATATTAATACTACCTTCCACACTAACTCACTGGTAGAGAAGCTGTAGACTGGACTCTGAGTCTGTCCAAAAATAGTCTTTGGACTGCAATTGAATTGGTAACATAGAGCAAACGCAGGAAAACCATGAAATAAAATCAAACTAAATACTAACAAATAACGCCTATTTAGAGACAAATTGTCGGTATCAATGAACCAGAATGTAATAAATATGAATGAAAAATGCGTTCCATGCGGATTCATTTTCATTGTGTTCTGGTTCACTTATACTGACAAACTGTCTCTAARTAGCTGCTATTAGTTAGTATTTAGTTTGATTTTATTTCATGGCTTTCCTGCATTTGCTATAATATGTTATCCAAAATTTTGAAAAGTTTAAAAACTTTTTACATATTACTAAGAATTTTTTTTTATATAGGTTTGGGGCTTGCAGGCTATGCTTTTTATGTGGGGCTTGCAGGCTTGTTTCTTTTGTTAGAAACGAAAACTGCCAGTAGTTTTTTATTCTATTATGAACTAAACTAAGGTTTTTTATGTTTATGAATGGACAACTAATAGCTTTAAATAGCTTTTTTTTAGCTTTTTTTAATAGCTTTTCTAACTAATGGCTTAAAAGGTGTCAACTGAAAATGAGACTTTATTTATTTATTTATTTTTTAATTCTTATTCTTATTGTTGTTGATTATAAAAAAAAATTCTGTGTCTGCATTTTGTATTCAGATTCCATATGGATGTACTGAGCTTCACCATGAAGTAGAGCTTGGTGTAATTATTGGTAAAAAAGGAAAATGCATTCCAGAGTCAGAAGCAATGACTCATGTGGGTGGCTATGCTTTGGCACTCGATATGACTGACAGAAAGCTACAAAATGATCTCAAGAAGAAAGGCCAACCCTGGACAACAGCCAAAGGCTTTGATACATCCAAYCCAATCAGTGATTTCMTTCCWMCRTCTACTTTCACWGACCCAAATAATGTGAGATTGTGGCTAAAGGTTGACGAGGAAATGAAACAGGATGGAAACACCAAGGACATGATATTTAGTATTCCATTTTTGATTAATTATATTAGTAAAATTATGACCCTTGAAGAGGGGGATCTTATCATTACAGGGACACCCTCTGGGGTATCCCAGGTCAGRAATGGCCAAACTATTACTGCTGGTATAGGTGATATTTTAACTATGAAATTTCCAGTTGTTGATAAAATCTGATATAAACTGATGAGATATAGCTACAAGTACCAATCATTATTAATTCATGAGGCACAGTTTTTAAAAATATTAATAAATACTCCGTACTTGCCGGCTTGATGTTGTCGTTTTATGTATTCCCTGGAAGTGGGGTAACATTACCCCCGCGGTGCCTGTGGTGTGAGGTTAGCGCATCTTACTATGTYTTTATATTTGACTGGGTACTTGACAATCAACAGACGATCCACCATCAGTAACAAAGTGAAACGGAAAGTCAACTGAACAGAAATGTTACAAAGGCCAGGTCAGGCACTCCTGATTTGTTCAGGCTCCCAGTTTTTAAGATGACGCAGTCCATTGCTAATGGAATGTTGATCATGGCGGATGTTAACTGATAGCGGCATCCAATTAAAGATAAAATTTGTTGACGCCAAGCGACGAAGTTATCTTGATGTCCACAGTAACAAAAAAATATCATAAAAAATATCATGTTTCCTGTTAACTGAACAGCAAATGAGAAACCAATCTGAATTATTTTAGAAGCACTCATATTACAATAGCCTTATGCTAGCGCTTTCCTTCCCAAACTCGACGGAATTTAATTAGGCTAATATTACGACCGCTTTGACGTTGAAAAAGCTTAACATGCCTGCCAAAGTTTTCTTTACCCAACAAAACGGATTTGTTTTAGTTCGACTTTACACTCGAGAATCTTTTGGCATTGTTACCCTATATCAGGAAGTGACTGAATGTTTACGTGTCGTTTTGAACGTTTCTAGATGCTGCACAACGAACGAGGCGTAGAGCTCATAAAATTCGTTGATGAAATGCGCCGCCAAAGTATCTCAAAGTACTTACAGATATAATAGAGAATCCAATCCACGAATAAAAATGCCTGGTCTGTAAAGAACTATGGTTTCGTCTTGTTATATTTCTCTGTATGTACACGGTTTGAAACGTATAACACCAGCTAATGGGCAGCTAATGCATGCAGCTAACTTGTAGAAACAAACATGATTTTGAAGCCCATGTTATTACTATATGCAGTAGCTATGTAAATGTATATTATGCACTTCATATAATTTCTCCTATAAGACTTGCTATGTTTTACTTGTCGTTTGGAACACTTTATTACATAGTATAGTTACAAGCTGTGTATGTTGGACACAGCCGCTTGTTTAGAGTTTAGAGTTAATTAGCTATTTTGCATAAAATTAAAGTACCTCATGTATAGCATAAGACATATAGAGATATCATATAGTATGAATAGTCCTGAACATAGTAACTTGCCTCACACCAAAGTGTATGTTAATTATTTTTTTCAGAGTTAATTACTAAATCGTTTTGGTTAATTAATTTTGTAAAAATGTCCAGATTATGTAAGCAAATTTCCAGTGAACGTTTATTTACAGAAAACTAGGCCAGCACTTACTGGAAAAGGCTGAAGAATTTTGTTGATTTGAATTTTCTACTAGGAAACAAAAATCGGGGGTGGAAGGGGAATATTTCAACTTATCGAACAAAAAGGTTTAATTCCTTTGGGTTTGTCCATCCTGATCAAAGTCAACTACATAATCTTGAGTTCCGGTTCCTTGGTTGTTTCGGGCGGGAAAAGTCCTGGTTACTGCAAGCGTACTTTGAAAATTACGTGGCAAACTTCACTTCGAGTTGATCATCCTTAATTGGTTGGTCGATCTCATAAATCTACTGCTCCACGCTTTTGAAGAGAACTTTCTGAAGATAGTGCAGTATTCCAGAGCGAAATGCATTGTGGGTCTTTCTATTACCGTTTAAAAGGAGTGGCTATACCAGCTCCGTGTTGTAGTCAAGAACTTCCAAGATAAGCTAGTGGGTATTTTCATAATCTTTTTTACGAATTTTATGGCTCCGTAATTAAATTAGATCACAAATCGTGTTCATTTCTTTGAAATACTACTTAGTTTCTCCCAGACTTTTTGGACTGCAACGTTATAGAAGCACTGTAGAAAGCTTTTATTATGAATAGCATGCATTGATATCGTAACCATTCTCCTTTGTAACCATTCTCCTTTGTTTATTCAGGCTCAAAATTAACAAAAAAAGGAAAAAAGAAACGGATCGGAGAAAGAAAGAAAGAAAGAAAGAAAGAAAGAAAGAAAGAAAGAAAGAAAGAAAAAAAAAAGAAAATCACGAAAATAAGAAAACTGTTCTATATTCCAGCAGTGCAAGTATTAAATTTACCTGAAAAGTACATAAAAAGTACATTGAGCTTATAAACAAACAAAAACTTATACCAAACTAATCGGAAAAGGCTCACAATGTCATCCAACATGGCGAATATGACGTAATAAGTAGTAAAGTAACGTAACAAAAAAATTAATTGCCTTGAAAATAAACAACAGTAAGCGTGCGTTGTAGTCATAAAGAAGTGAGCGGAACTAATCTGTTTTTATGCTATCATTTATTTCTTTTGTTTTATGAGAGAAATCAGAAAAAATCTGCATTGAGCTGAGCTGCTGAGCAGCTACGTCCCGCGTGCACCGAACTCCAGAGTGCAGTCTTTCATGGCTCTTATCATAATCTTGCCGATGTCTTGGTCTCCTCCACCAAACGTAACAAGCTTGTACTTATCTTTACACTCTTGATCATTGTCGAGGATTTCTATTAGCTTTGCAACGAAGAGGTTCACTTGATTGTTCCTCTCCTCCCTGGACAGTCCAGCAYTGGGATCGTTAGACATGTCAAATAGGTTCATCAACGTTGTGGCRTATTCCATGATACAATAGTAAGTCCTGCCAGTGTCTTCGTCTTTAATGCTGGAATCATGAAAGTTCACATAATAAAAAAAGTGTTAAAGATAATAAGTTTTTACTATATGCTCTGATTATGAAAGGTGGATGGCCAGATGTTTCTTTTAATATATATAGAAGGTATTACATGGGTACGCGGAGATATAGAGATATTACATGGGCGCGCGGAGATACGGATTTTTTTTTTCGAGTGTTGAAAAGATCTCTCACGAGTGAGCGTAGCGATTTTCAACACGAGAAGATAAACTTCGTATCTCCAAGCGACCATGTAATATTCTGTTTATCATATATAATTACATATGAAGGCAAATTATGTCGGAAAATACTTTTTTTCATAAAAAAACTTCCAATGTGTCATTCTCATTAGTGCAAAATATCAACTTTACGATGGTKAAATATAGGTATTTCATAGATAATTATATGATAAAAGGATTTTATCTTCGGCTGCTGAAAAGATCAAGACTGTTAATTTCCCTATAATATGTTAATTCCCCAGCCATCCCCAGGGGTCGGGGGGTCGGGAAGTGAATTGACTGATGCATGATTGGCTGAGGGAGCGCTATGAATCAGCTTGAGTTCTCGACCTCAATATGTAGGAATCATGGAAAATGTTTATTAATAAAGCGTACACAAAGAGAATGGAATCTTTTCACCTTCCATTTTTACAATATTCATCATCGCGCAACTAAAATCGTACATGTAAACAGCTCTTCGATTATTGCGGCGATGGAAAATYGCCGCGAAGTCAGTTGCAGCCAATTTCTAAGCACGGCTCGAAACTCAGGCGATGGTCGCGCGACGATTCCCGCGAATCGATCTTTATACCCCAAACCAACAAAATGGACGATCGTATCGTCCAGCGGAAGAGACGACTACCCAGACAAGCACAAAGCTATAGGAAATTTACAAGTAAGTTCAACTGTTTCTAAGAATACAACGTAATTCTTACCTATGTACTCTGTGTTTGTAAGTACGGATTTGACCTCCACGAGTTTTTTTCAGTGGTTCAAGATTTCCATCACTTTTAATCAGACCTTTCGGATCTAAATGTTTGTTTGAAATTTGGTCAAAAACAAGACAGTTTTTAGGGATGATAATAAACACTTTGTGGACATTGATTTTGTAGCGGTACTTCTCAGTTAGATTGATTTGGTTCTCCAACGCAGGCAAAACAAACTTCAGGTATCCAAAGTAATAACCCCAAGCCAAACCATCGGCCAGGTTTTTGTTTACCTTTTCGTTGATTTGAGAATATTCCACACGTGAAAGCTTTCGTAAACCGAACAAGAAAACAAATAAGGGAATAAAGACAGCGTTCAAGACAAAAAATCGCATTAATTCAGTCTTACAGGAATCCCAGATATCGAGSAAAAAAGAAGACATGCATAAAGTAAATAGAATAGTGAAGAGTGAGATTAGATCACTTTTCTCGTAGTCAAACGTGGCTTTAAAAGCTTTCTTCATGYTTCCTTCGTAACGTGAGCGACAATGGCGAGCTTCTTCTACAAATAAGCAAAGTCTTCGAGCCATCTCACCGACCATATAGGCAAGTAGAGATAAACTAATAGCGAAGAAGTAAAACGCCAAAACATTATGCTGTAGTGGCCTTTCCGCGAGGAATGTCATTACAACGAAGGCCACAAGGATTGTAATCGCGACCCATATCGCCCCTGATCCTCTTTGTSTGTAAAACGGTCCAAATCCGTTGTTTTCTTCTCTCTGCATATTTCACTGAAGTGGTAATTATTATTTATGGATCGAACTTCGTGGCCTTCTACAAATCACTTAATGAGTACAGCGTCGCGACTGGGGGGAATCCCCTAACACGCGGTCATCACAGTGCTTTAAACATATGTTTCGTTGTAAAAAGAAACTTTGGCTTTTCCGTACTTTTATACTACAGAAAAATAAAAAAATATGGACCTAACCTGACCTCCGTTTGATGCATGAGCGCGCAGAATTTTTCTAGGGGAATCCATTCCATGATTCCTTGCGGCGTATGCAGCAAGCCGCAGACATATAGCGACCGATAATTTCCGAACGAATGTTATTCCGAAGAGTTGCCGCAGCCGACGGGGAGAAAAGCGGGAGAGACTTGTAAATCTCTTCACCCCATCAGAATATTTCATTGGTCGTTCTTTCCCYAGTCTCATGCCATACAAAATGCATTAATTGATAAAAACGCTTGTCTGGTCGTCCGCCTTCGTCCGCTCCGCCATCCTCCGMTGTCAGCTTCGGCAACTCTTCGGAAGAATTCGGGGAAATTCGACGTTGCTCGGAAGAAAGCASCAAGAAAGACTTCCGGGAATTCAGAGTTTGTTGCTGCAGCCACGACGGAGTGGTTCATTTCATTCTTTACCACGAAGAGCTCATGAATGCTTGATGCTAGACAACAATTCGTCGTCGTGAAGAACTGAGGATCATTTAATACATCGATTCAGCCAGACGCTTAATCATGGTCATGTGCCGTGCAGTTTAGGTTGAACCGAGTTTTGGTGGACATTCTAAAAGGTGATTGCATGTTTACTTTTGATTTGGCATTTGTATATGTACTAATTTATTTAATATAAGGTGCAATTCCTTGGATTTAAGCTGAACTTAAATCGATCTGAAGATTATTCTAGTAGACAATAGATTTTGACGTACTTCTGTAACTTGAATTAATACTAAGCTTAAATTGTTTTTATTATCTTGCATGAAATATTTAGCTTATTTGTAAATGGATTTAAATGCTACGCTTTTTAATAAATCACTGTCAAGTTTTTCACTCTGAATCTGTACTGTACTAATATAATTATTTATGTATACAAATATTGGTCCAACCTACCTCGCTTTCAGGCAAATTAAGGTTAAAACTTGTTGATCTGTTGAGGCCGTATATTAGAAGTTGGAGGAGCAAATGCTTTAGAAGAGCAATTAATTCATACATTGCAATACCCTTTATAGCTGTGAATAATTGTCTTCGCTGGTGTGAACACATATGATACAATTAATGTACCTTCCTTGCTTTGATGCTATTAATGATATTGATATGCAAAATGATATCAAAAAAATATGATATTGATATAGAGGATATTACATGGGAGCGCGGAAATACTAATTTTATCTTCGAGTGTTCAATCAATATCTCACGAGTGAGCGTAGCGATCTTTATATAAAAATTGATCTAATTGGCCGAAAAAATACAGTGTCACCATGCCAACAATGATATCTTCACATTTGAAAAATATGATATCTTTTCATGGTTCAAAATATAGCATTTTCACAGTTCTAGAGAAAACCTGGTATCTCATCGATATGTGTATTGGCTATCTTAAATTGGAGGTTCTTTAAAATGAAGTATTGTTTAAGTTATGTTGGTCCAGCTCTGTGTGTATCAAACTTTCAGTTATATCATCTGAAATTATAGAAATAAAATTGTGCTTCTAAAATGGCTTACTTTTATTTTATTCATAGGCTTAATGGCCAAGTTTTAAAAATATCCCCTATATCGACACAGTGGCAACAACAGTCAATTGTATATCAATGAATATATTACTAATTAATACACACATATTTAATGAGATTCATAAGGCCTTTTTTACAGTATTGCGATTTTTGAAACGCAATCGCCGCTCGACAGTTGCCTGAGTTTAGAACATGCTTGAAATTTAGCTGTGAATCAATAATCACCGCAACAATCACAAGGCAGTTTACACATGTTATTTGAGGTGCGAGAGAACAAAGTGGCGATTGTCCTGTGTAAACGGCCTATACAATTCCTAATGACATGCAGAAGTACGCTGTCAAAATGTTCTAGTAGCCATCAGAATTTATAACAATGATATGAATACCAAGACAATAGAAACAGCACCTAACCAATGGGATTGCAGTGTAGAATGCCAGAAATCATATTTTAATGGTATTTTGAGAATAGATTTTGAGAAAGCACTTATGCAGTTACCATATTCCAACACATTAATTTCCACTTTTTATTACAAACAATTATGTTGGTCAGTTCTGAAGAAATAAATATAATGTAATTAAAGCACTGTAATCAGAAGGCTAATTTCTTTGGGAATTTTATTTAGACAAACATCTGCATTTCATTATAAAGATATTAATAATGAATCATCATGATGTTACATATAATGATATCTCTCAATCCACAACCTTCTGCAATTGACTTTTATGGAATCAGTATGTAATAAGGGGAGATATCTTTTCATTAGATCATTGATAATAATTAATAAGCCTGAATAAAAAAGTAAACCATTTTAAAAAGTAGAATTTTATAATTTCTAGCAATTTTTAGATTCAAAGTCATGGTTCAATGGACTGCCTGTGATGATTGTTTTTAGGTAAAAGACCAAACAGAGCATTACATAGTGTCGGTACTGGTATTTTTTATAAACCATGATTATAATTATTAAATTTAGACTTTTTAATCTTATAGAATGTATTTTTGATGCAATCAAAGGATGGACGAAGAAGAACGGTAAGGAGTTTCATCGAATGGAATTGTTGAAGGCTGTATTGCATGGTCATGCGCGCATTATGTAATTCATTTTTTCAAAGTATATTGTTTCAAAATAATAGGAGAGTGTGCTGCATTGCAAGACTTGAGGATATTGAGGATATTGATATTATTTATCAAATTTTTCATTATAATAATTTATTCAGGTTAAACACAATGGAAAATCATTGTCTTGACCACATCCTTATATGAGCAAGAGATTTGTCCTGATTTGCATACAACTTTAACATCCCAAGTAAAAAAAATTCCGGAATTCAGTCGGGCTGGAATACCGGCGGATTTCCTGACATTCCAGCCGGAATTCCACCGGATTTCCGTCGGTATACCGCCGGAATTCCACTAAAAATTCCGCCCGGAGTACCTGGAATTCCGCGGGATTAAGGCCGGCATTCCGGGGAATTCCAGGTACTCCGGGCGGTATTCCAGGCGGTATTCCGGCGGTATTCCGGGCGGTATTCCGGTGGTATTCCTGAGATATTCCGGTGGTATTCCGGCGATACTCCGGTGCTATTCCGGCGATATTCCGGTGGTATTCTGGGGGTATTCCGGCGGTATTCGGGAGGAATTCCTGTGGAATTCCGGTGGTATTCGGGCGGAATGCCGGTGGAGTTTTCAAGCCGTTTGAACGTTAATTTTATTATGTAAAAATAAGAATGAAAAATTGTGGATTTTTCCGGCTGAATTCCGGTATTAGGCTGTCGGGATTCCGAAGAAATACCAGCGGAATTCCGGTGGTATTCCCGCGGTATTCCGCCGGAATCCCAAATATATATAGGATAATTAAAACCTCTTATTGTTTGTTCCTCTTATTGTGTCGAGCAGTAACTAACAACTTGGTAGTTTTCAAGCCGTTTACGCAATGATTTCTTATAGAAATCTCAATTGAAATTCCGGGCTATTCCGGCTGAACTCCGGATAAATTCCGGATGTCTTAAAATTCTAACTTTCGCTTATTGCAAAGAAAACAAAGTACTGTCAACGTGCAACTTCATTTTTGGGAGTTTTCAAGCAGTTCAGGCAATGATTTCTTAATAATAAATCTGAATTGAAATTCCGGGTACGTTATTCCGGCTGTATCTTGCAGCTCGCACTGTTTGACCATAAACTAAGGTGACTCCTGCTCATATATTTTATATCACATAATGGATTTTTACTGTGTGTTGTCATCCAACTTAGTACAGAAACTGTTTCCTGTAATACATCTATCTTAAGCTCTAAATGAATCTTGAATGCTGAAATTTGGTCTAGAGCTATTTAGTATTGGAATATGTGTTTTATAGTCTACTTTTTTATTTGCTGCGGAAAAAATGTTATATTGTAGTCCCGCATGTTTTGATTTTTAAGCAGTTTTATTAAAACATTTTTGGTTTCATGTACATGCATATCCATATAATACACATGCAGTTTATCGGCCATGAAGCTATAATCATCCTTCATCTTACATCCTTCATCCTGCATCACTCATCTTTGGGCTTTTTTGTTGAATAAATATTTGTAATGGCATTCTTTTTTTTTTATTCTAAAGGAATTACTGTTGCCTAATACTACTGTTGTCCAGGGTAGGCCTGGTAAACTTGCGCAAGCTCTTCATAAATGAGTGGGATACCTTTGGTGGGTTTGATCCATGGACTGACTGCCACCAGAATGGCACAGATTTGTTGACAAAGTTCAACCCACTTCCTTATGAAACAGCAAAAGTCCAGTCAGGCGACACAGCAWCATGGGATGTGTCCCTCTTTGTAAAAGTTTTATTGAATTCCAGGCCTCCATTTGTGCACAACATTGCTTTAGTTGATGGGTTGAAATGTTTGAAGGAAACAAGAAACTCACTTTCTCATACAGCAAGTGGAAAGATTAAATCTGCAGACTTTGCTCCACTTTACAATGATGCATGTAATGCATTGTTGCTATTGGGTGCTTCCACGGATGATTTCAAAAAGGTTGAGGAAGGTACAAAAAGTACAGATAATAAGTGCATAATTATTCTCTGTAGATTCGTACAAAATTAAATCACAGAAGATTCAAACGTTCAGTAGGTAGAATTCTGTGACTACCCGGTATTTTAGGACGAGTAAAAAAAGGTTTTGTTGGAGTAATATATTTTTAAATATACTGGAAAAAGATCTTGAGAAGGAGTCAAGAAAAGATATATTCTTTGTAAATTTTCCATCAAAAAACATTTTGTTGGACTCTAAACTATCACAAAAGCATTCAACATGATTTGAACGGACCAGGTCCTTTAAATATACTGGAAAAAGATCTTGAGAAGGAGTCAAGAAAAGATATATTCTTTGTAAATTTTCCATCAAAAAACATTTTGTTGGACTCTAAACTATCACAAAAGCATTCAACATGATTTTTCACAGCATC